GAGAAGGAAGAGACAATATTATCACATTAAGACGACTAATGAAAGTCAGCTACTTTGCTGTGAAACCCTTGGAGAGGCAAAGCACAGCTTCTGTTTGATGTAGCTCAACACTGTGTCCCCAGAGCAAGAACGAGCCGTGCTTTGCCTCCGTTAGGCACGTACATCAACCGTACATCAACTCAAGGGGAAATGGCTGCAGAAACACGACGGACAGAGCAGCAGAAAGGTGCGAACGGTGCACCTCCCAGCACTGCTAAGGCGCTGGCTGGGGAACACACGCCAAAGAGACGAGCTGCTGGGTTGATGGACGCCGCTGCCGACGATCGGATCGTGAACCTCAATAACCAAGTTCAGCCCCGCTCTCAAACTCAAGTTTTCTTGGCAACAGGGTAGGCATACTCGTACGATCAGATCACTGACCTGAGGTGGTTATCTCAACGCTAAAATCCCGCATTTCCTTTTGGCAATAAAGCCTAGCAGCCTTCTGTGGTCTCACATCGACTGCCGTAATGGCCCGTGTCGTGTTAAGTTAGTCCTTTTCCTCTCTTAACATCTTTTTTAAGAAGCTTTGCCTCACGCTGGATTCTGTTTGGACTTGTACAAACAGGCAGAGTCATTTTCACATAAAAAGTTTTTGTTCTCAGAGGCGAGACCCATCTTCTTCCTGAGAAGCGTAGGCTTTTCTCCTGCCTTTCAGGGAGCAAAGTACTTAAAAACTAGGCTGCACTTGCATGTTCACAGATTGTTTTGGGGCTTTCTGTTCTCCCACATGGAAACAGAAACACGCACGACGCCTCGGTCGCCAGCGCGCTTCTCCCCGCTCCGCCGCCGCCAGATGGCTTCCCCAGCGATTAGACAACCTCCCAGCAACGCGCGGGTGGGCGAGTTGTCTGACAAACGACAAAACCGAGTCGGGGCCGTGATTATACAATCTTCAGTTTGTGTTGTTTATCTGCTTTAATGATCTAGCAAGCACTAAACGCCGCAACAAAGCGCGGGCGGCGGGTACGCGGCCGAGGCGGACGCGCACTGACGCGAGATCCCCCCAAACGGTCACCGGCCCCTCCACAAGCCCGCCCGCCGGCTCGCTCAGGAC